TACTGCTTCATGAATGGAGCTCACTGTTCCCTGAATTATGGTATATTGGTGCAAGGTGCGACAATCACGACCTTATCAGGGGGCAGGTCCATGATACCCAGGCAGTATGTCTTAATTGTTCCAGGTTGAATACCCATGGGTATTATTCAACCAGAAAAAGACTAAGGACATCTTAAGGCAAAGAAGAAGTACTGTGGCGAGAGATGGTCAATACTGCCGAGGGAACTGAAATTTTTTGTTTTTACACAAACTGGAGCTCAATTACAAATCATTAGTCAGACTTTAGTGAGAATTTGGGCTTTAGCTACCCGTTTAATGTTTTTCAACTCAGTAGACAGTACATTTGCAACTCCTGATACCTATAAGAAACCATCGGTAATTCAACCCACCAGCATGTACAGATATCTACAGTAACAGCTTCGGATGGACTTACCCTAAAACTTTCTAAAATGGCTTGATAATGGGGTTGGTTAACTTTTGAACATAACTGGAATTTCCCATCATAAAGCAGATTAGACAGATCTTACAAATGCAAATTATAAGAGAGATGAACAAAGCATTCATCATTACCATTAATCATTTAAAATGGAAATGAATTGACATTCCTGAAGTTCGTCTCCATTGCTTGATGCCTTGCCACTTCATCACCTCTTGATACAATCTCTGGAGAACACTTGATACAAGCTTATGAAGACCTTTCAATGCCACTCACACTGATTCTCATACACATCATTAGATTAGGTGAACTCTGAACCACAGGTTGATTCTATGCCTCTGTTCAGTACAGATGAGGAGGAAGTGACAGAAGAAAAAAAAGGCATACAGGTGGAGGTAATGCTATGTCTCTTGAGTATTTTGTGCCTATCCATGTGTATGAACACTCACAACTTCAAATCTAACTCAACAGCTTTGAGGCTTCCTTTCCTTCTTTCTATAGCTTTAGCTTTCCTGTTTTTACTTTGCTTTTTATTTTATGAAACATTCATGTTTTCTGTACGATTTCTTTCCAAAACAGCAGAGGTAACTGAAATGTCACCTAACCCCAAAGGTCTTCCTGATCTTCAGACTTAAAGTGAACCTGTACTTTGCATTTTCTAAGCAAAGCAACTGGTTCATGGTACTGTTTGGAGCATAAGAGACATGTACTTACCTTCCACTCACTCCCTTACTGCTCATTATTGCCACAAACATCTCAAAATTCCAAGTATGTTTAAGGTATGGTGGAATATGCAACAATCTTCTTCCTTCTCTGTAATGCAGTACCAGGCAGCCAATGACAAAGCTTGAGTCCCGTCATCTGGAGCAAGTTATGTAAGTTCCAGCTTTTCTGGGTAATTTAGAGGCAAGCATAGAGATTTGAATTATCATGGAAGCAAGTAGACGGTACATGATGATAAAGTATGCTCCCAACATTTAAGTGAACCCATATATATAAAGTAGAGATTCACTGTAAAGAGATCAGAGCAAGAATGAGGGTCAAGTGACCAGCTAATATGAAAACCCTGCCCAGTCATTATGCTAAATTTCCCCAACTTCCTCCTCTGATCTGCTGTAACCCTTTAAAAGCTTTGTTTCAGATGGCGTCAACACATATACAGTGTTATATTCTTCTTGTTTACTTCAGGTGACTACTAAGACAGGGTAAACCAGACTGGCAGAAATGTGAGGGAAGTGTGTAGCAAAAGTATCTGCAGGAGAGATTTTCATCTTAGGAGGAGGACTTGTCACTTTGCCCTGAAGGGAGGGCTTGCAAAGGAACTGAATGTGTTCAATTAAAAAAATCAGTTAATGGACCCTTAGCATGGTGTCTGTAAAACTTGTTTTACACAATTGTTATACATAAGCATTTCACAGGTGTACTACAAGAGGGATAAAACACACTTTTGTGATGCATATTATTGCAATGCACTATAATTCCTGGTGCATTCATTAGTGCATTATGGTGTCATTGATTTTGAATAGCACCCCAACACACTAAAGCAATGCACCTCTAAGACACCTATGTTGTAGCTCACCGCAACACACAATAACACACTGCTGTTAGTTGTGGTGCCCTAAACGTAGCAGACACTAACAACAAAATACCTAATAATGCGGAAATTGACTTTGCTACATATTTATTACAATATTGCCTTAAGGATCAGAGCCAAATGGATGCTGTACTTAAACAGCAGGAGAAGAAAATGTCTAGATAAGGTCATATTATTCCTAATCCTTTACTAGCTATAGAAACATGAAATAGTTTATAGAAACCTGGGAAGTGTCACCTTGTATAAATGTAATCATTCTGCATAAAAAGCCAATGTACAAGTCAAATTTCTTCTTTTTGGTATTTCCTCTTATTTCTTAAACCAAGACATTAGCTCCAGGCCAGCTTCAGGCTAGGATATAATTATATATCTAGTCAATATAGGGGCTGTGCACATTTTAAAAGGCTATTACTGTGACATTTCTCCATACCTTCACTTGCAGCTTCTCTATCTAACAGTTTTCTACATAAAAGCTTTTTGCAGCTCACTGCTTAGTGAAGTCTTAAGTAAAGCAAATCACTCTGGATGTTGCAAAAGCTAACAACAATAAATTCCTAACGTTCTTTCCAGTTGTCCCAGTACTGTAAAGCTTGAGCTAGACATCTAAATACACAAATGAAATGCAGAATGCCAAGCAAGACAACCAGGTTGGTGACATGCTGTCTCTCTACTATCCCAAAGCAATACACGTTAAGCTGGCCATACACAGCTCAGTTTTGTCCGATTGCTGCCGAATCAGCCAACATTCAAACATTGGGAGACTCTATCAGCTGAACAGTGACTGTATCCTATCAGATGCAGTCATTGTTCTGGTATTCAGATATGATTGCTAAAGCTGTCTGAATACAATACCCAGTGGGAGATATTCCTCCATAGATGCTGTTTAGTATGGATGGGAAAATCTATTCGATTTCTTTTGTTCACCACTACTAGCCATATACATGTATGACTAGTAGTGAGGAGCTAATCTGCTTGGGTTCAATTCAAGGGCAGGTTTTTGCAAAATGATTCTAAAAAGCTGCAAATTGCAAACTTTAATGCAAACCCCTTTGAAGTCCACTGCCATGGAGGGACATGTACCAATGGAAAGAAATAAAACTACAGTTTAGAGGGGAGCAACTCTCTTAATAAGACTTAAAGTGACACATTAAAAATGTCTTTAAAGGAGAAGTAGGGCCAAAGCTCTTTCCCTCTGGAAGAAGACCAGGCTACTCTCAGCTCCAGGGTATTTATGTATTCTCCCAGAATCCTCTAGGCCAGGACTCCCAGGGATTGGCTAGGGATACATAAATATTAAGCTGCTAATTGAAATCTTTCTGCCTCTATTACCCAGAGCTTCTCCAGGTGAACAGGGGGAAGCAAATCATTATATAGCTTCTGGAACACAGACCAGAACAAAATAATCAAATGCAGCTCCACTAGTTACAGTGAGCCAGAACTGAAATGACCTACACTAACACTTATACTACAATCTAAACAATTTACAGTGGCACTGGATGCAGTGGGCCAAACTACATTTGACTAACACAACAAATTAGCTCCATTGACTACAATGGGCCCAACTAAATTTACCTATCCTAGGACCCAACTAGGATGGTGCTACATTTGTCCAAAATCTCTCCTGGGATTATTGAATGGAAAGTCTGAAAATTATGTATTTGGCAAAAGCTATAGCCCTTCATTATCATCTTCAGGCAAACATTTACACACCTCCCCACAATTCATTTGGCACTTTTGTATTACCTTGTGGAGTTTGTACACTCTACTAAGTTCACCATCTTGCTTCTTTGCCAACACTGTTTCTGAGTGCCCAGTAATCCAACAAAATCATGTCTGTCCCTTTGTGGTGATGGTACCATCTGCAGATTCTCCTCTAGATCCAAGGAGGACCCCAGTGCTGGACAGTCAATAGGAAGTGTCCATGCACATAAGCAGTGACATAGATACCCAAAAAATAAACCACACCCCCTGTGCATGAAAGAAGAAAGACTTGGGACCCAAATTAACTTTTTTTGCTTCCTTTCTCTCTGTTAAATTGAAAATGTTTTTATAACTCAATTTTTATAATTGCAAAAAAAATATGTGCTGATCCTGCCAGGAATTCAGTGAGCTCATAACTTCTGCACTTTGTCTCTGATGTACTTAAAGTGGTATTAAACCCAAAATCAAACATTTATTATTTTACAGCTTACCATTTTATAGATGGGATAACTGCATTCATTCTCTTTTTTTTTTAGGCTTTCTTTCTTCTATTTTCATCTGGTGATCCAGCCTGTACGTCTGTTGTTTTTCCAAAGAACAAGCTCTCCGGCAGAATGTATCAATTTCAGAGATGATGTAAACAGGTGCTTCCAAAGGGTTAAAGTTTTTCTGCTCTGCTGACTCTGTTCTGCAGTTACCAGGGTAAGGTGTGTTTCAACAATTGTGTGCACTGTGATTATTCTGCTAGGTTGGTGGATCTGAGAAGAAGGGGTTAACATGGTTGGCCAGGTTTTTCTGTCTTTGTTCTGAGATTCACCACCCCGTGCAGGTCATACCATATAAACAGGGGCTCTTCACTGCCCCAGAGGGTCTTCTGCTAAACCACTGCCAAGATGTAGGCTGTTACTCTGTTGGACTGTGCCCCCATCTGGGGGCCCAATCAGAGATCCCTATGGAGCTGGGAACTTAACGACATTCTTGTCTGTAATGGAATACTTTAATTCTGTAATGGATTACTATAAGGACTTTGTTGCTACCTTATGAGCACTTAGAGGACCTCTGTACAGGAATGTATGTGAAGCTGTTTACCCACAAGCCTACAGGGCACTTATACCCCCTTCCTGTCCAGGCCAATTTCCACCTTTCAGCGCTGTTGCACTTTGAATGACAATTGCACCGTCATGCAACACTGTACCCATATGAAAATTTTATCATTTTTTGTGACAGATAGAGCTTTATTTTGGTGGTATTTAATCACCTCTGGGTTTTTTATTTTTTCTTAAACAAACCAAAAACCACTGAAAATTTTGGAATAAAAAATGTTTTTTTCTTAGTTTTTGTTATTAAATTTTGTAAATTAGTGATTTTTCTCCTTCACTGATGTGCGCTAATGAGGCTGTAGTGATGGGCACTGATAGGCTGCACTGATAGACACTGATAGGTGGCACTGATGGGCACTGATGAGGAGGCACTGGTAGGTAGCACTGATGGGCATTGACAGGCATCACTGATGGGCACTGAAAGGCAGCACTGATATATGGCACTGAGAGGCAGCACTGACTGGCACTGATAGGCGGCACTGACGAGCACTGATAGGCAGCACTGATGCGCACTGATAGGCGTCACTGACTGGCACTGATAGGTGGCACTGATTGGCAGCACTGATAGGTGGCTGATTGGCATTGATAGGTGGCACTGATTGGCACTGATGGGTGCCACTGAAAGGCAGCTCAGATGGGCACTGATATGTGGTATTGATGTGCCCTGGTAGGCACTGATATGTGGCATTGATGTGGCACTGATGGACACTGACAGCTGGCACTGATGGACACTGACAGGTGGCACTGCTGGGGCTACACTGATCATCAGGGCACACTGATCATCAGCACTCTGATGATCAGTGTACGTATCCCCTCCGCTGAATGCCGATTACCGTCTCTCCTCTCGAGTTGTCAGTGTCACAGCTCGAGAGGAGAGAAATGCCGATAACCGGCATTTCCCTGTTTACATGTGATCAGCTGTGATTGGACATCATCGGCTCTTTGCATGGATCGGTGATCCGCTGTGTCTGAGGGACACAGCGCACCGCAGATCGCCGCGCTGCGCACTCCGGGAGCCGCACATGCGCAGTGAGAATGGGAGGACATCATATAACGTCCTCCCAGAATGAAAGAAATACCTTGCACCCGTCATATTAGTATATGGCGGGCGGGAAGTGGTTAAACTCAGTGTACAGAGCCATGTAACAAACGTCAGGTCATTTGTTGTGGAACGTGTCAAAAAGACAGGGCTTACATCAAGGGACTGTAGGTTAGAGTAGACACAATAAATTTAGTGCAGGCTATATTGCCATTGCTAAGGACAACCGAATGCGTATATTTTGCTAAAGGCAGCCAACCAGTCAGGAAGCAGGTGACAGGCAAGGGGTGTTGTGCTTGACCCATTCACTAGCAACCGGTTCCCCTCATACTGGGACCAACCTTGCAGCACAGTATGCAGGCCATAGATGGGTCGAAAATCGGCCGATTTTTCGGCCGAAAATAAAATCGGCCGATTTTCGGATCGTTAGTGGGCTATTCGGTCAGCCGTTTTTCAGTATTTTGGCCGTTTTTTTTTTTCTGTAAAGTTGGAAAAAAATCGGCCGATTTTGCCGATTGGCCGATTTTCGCGGCAATTAGTGGGCAAATCGGCCGATTTTTTGCCGATAAAAAATCTGCGCATGAGCAGTGACCTGCAAGAGGAAGACAAAAAGAAGAAAAAGAAGAAGAGGATGAAGAAGAGGATGAAGAAGAAGAAGAAGAGGAAGAAGAGGATGAAGAAGAAGAGGATGAGGAAGAGGAAGAAGAAGAAGAGGATGAGGATGAAGAAGAAGAAGAGGATGAGGAAGAAGAAGAAGAAGAGGATGAGGATGAAGAAGAAGAAGAAGAAGAAGAGGATGAGGATGAAGAAGAAGAGGATGAGGATGAAGAAGAGAGGATGAGGATGAAGAAGAGGATGAGGATGAAGATGAAGAAGAAGAAGAAGAAGAAGAAGAGGATGAGGATGATGATGAAGAAGAAGAGGATGAGGATGAAGAAGAAGAAGAAGAAGAGGATGAGGATGAAGAAGAAGAAGAAGAAGTAGGATGAAAATAAGAAGAATTCCAGTCCAGCAAAAAGTGTCTCTGCAGAGAGCTCCGCTATTTCTGACAGTTCTCTGACAGTTCCTTGACATTTACAGCGGTTGCAACAATGTATCTATTTGTTTCCGAATAAAAACATCTGTATCCTAAATGGAAACAAATAGATACAATGTTTCAACCGCTGTAAATGTGAAGGAACTGTCAGAGAACTGTCAGAAATAGCGGAGCTCTCTGCAGGGACACTTTTTTGCCGGCTGTAGAAGGGATGAAAATCGGCCGATTTTTTTTACCATTGATGGTAACGCCGGCCGCTTGAACGACCGAATTTTCGTTTTTTAAAAGAAAAATCTGCCGTTTTTCTCCCCATCTATGGCCTGCATACCCAGGGACGTAGCTGGGAGTCACAGGAGAGAGAGATGTATGAGGTACCTCAGGAAAAGACAAGCACGTAATTATAGTGAAGTGCTTCTCCTGTATTCATTAGCAACAGCTGGACATTTCACTGGGAGTGAGGTGACAAGAATCACTGGTGGAGACCAGTACAAGCTCTGCAGGGGGGGTAGCGACAGCACTTTTTCAGTGTGAAACACGTTAACGTTTTCCCTCCCTTGTCTGTACATCTGTGTTTCTCTTATATGCAGGGCCGGTAAAAGGATTTTTGCCTACACAGGCAACAGTGCATTTGGAACCCCCCCCTTCTTCCCGCCATTCCCCCCCACCCCACTCCACCCCCATATAGCATACACTTTATTTGTGTTCCATTAAGCTATAGTGGTTCTGGTGCTTAGAGCACTTGTTTTACCTAAGAGAAAAAAAGAACAAAAAAACAATTTGTAGTTTTTTAAAGTGCATTTTATTAGCAGATGTTGAAAAAAATAACATATAAAACTACAAAACAAACAGTTGTCTACAATGAGTGAGAGTGCAGTAAGTAGTGCAAGCATACTGACTAACTTATGGTAAGATGTCACGATATTCCTGTTCACACAAAACATTTCTTAATGATAAATATCCATAGAGACTGCAGACACACTACAAGAGATGATCAGAGACTCAGAGACTGCAGACATGGCACAAGAGATGATCAGAGATTGCAGACATGGCACAAGAGATGATCAGAGACTCAGAGACTGCAGACATGGCACAAGAGATGATTGGAGACAGCGTGCATGGCACACGGGATGGACAGAGACTGCATATATGGTGCAAGAGATGGTCAGAGACTGGAGACATGGCACAAGAGATGGTCAGAGACTGAGTACATGGCACAAGAGATGGTCAGAGACTGCAGACATGGCACAAGAGATGGTCAGAGACATTGTACATGGCACAAGGGATGGACAGAGACTGAGTAAATGGCACAAGGGATGGACAGAGACTGCATATATGGTGCAAGAGATGGTCAGAGACTGCAGACATGGCACAAGAGATGGTCAGAGACTGCGTACATGGCACAAGAGATGGTCAGAGACTGCGTACATGGCACAAGGGATGGTCAGAGACTGAGTACATGGCACAAGAGATGGTCAGAGACTCAGAGACTCAGAGACTGCAGACATGGCACAAGAGATGATCAGAGACTGCATACATGGCACAAGGGATGGACAGAGACTGCATACATGGCACAAAAGATGGTCAAAGACTGTGTACATGGCACAAGAGATGATCGGAGACTGCGTACATGGCACAAGGGATGGACAGAGACTGCGTACATGGCACAAGAGACGGTCAAAGACTGTGTACATGGCACAAGAGATGGTCAGAGACTGCAAACATGGCACAAGAGATGGTCAGAGACTGCGTACATGGCACAAGGGATGGTCAGAGACTGCATACATGGCACAAAGGATAGTCAGGTGGGAGGGATTTGTTTCAGCTTTGTAAGCCGAACCTCGAGGGCTAAGGGAAGGGGGCCTAGGGGGTGTCTCTAAGTCTGAGGAAGATCACCTTGTGATCTCTGCCCACATCTGGAGGAGGAATGGTGGAGTAGGCAGGGCTGGGACTTGGGATAGCAGCTGCCTGCAGGTGTAGAACTCAGAAAGAAGTCAGTAGAGCGGAGGCTGCGACTGAAATTAACACAGTGCCCAGGGCTGTGCTGCACTGCCCTACCTGTCACAGTGTGCTTACTGCTGAGCCTGAGCTGGAAACGGAGCAACGTGCAAGCAGAGCAGACCAATCCATGCCAGCACAAGCACTTCTTAGGGAACCCCTGGTTTTGGCACCTCCCCTCTCCTGGTGCCCTCAGGTGGCCACCTTGGCCTGCTAATGGTGCACCGGCCCTGCTTGTATAGATTTTCAATAAAGGTTATTTTTCATACATTTTGCACTTTGTACATTGGAAGTGCAGCCATCCTGAGTTTTATTGTTTGGGTTGTTCCAGCTGAGACTGGGTGTGCACCCCAGGCATTGGAGACCATTCAGCCATATACGGCTCATCTTTGAGCAACGGGAGCATGTGTTCAAGCTTGGCCATGGGTTACAGAGAGTTAACTGCAGAGATGTAAAAATTCAGATTTTAAAGCCACAAGGAAAAAAAAGTGTTTTTTCCCTGTTTTTTTTTTCTGTAAAAAAAATTTAATTTTTAGAAAAATAAAAAAAAAATTTGGAGTGGAGTATTGTTACAAATTTAAAGTCATTTTGCTACACTGGGAAGGTGAAATGAGGTGTATATAAAAGTATTATGCTTGAAATAAAAGTAAAGCTTATTCTGTAAATAAAATGACCGTGCTGTTTAAATGATATTTTTTATTACCAACGGAATAACAAGTATTGTATATGTTAAGATCATTTCAACTATACATGAGAACATGTCATCATAATTTTAAAACTTCCTTCCAATATGCATTTTCAGTTACTGACAATGCTGACCCAGAAGCATACTGTATGTTGCTCTTGCTGATTTCAGGTGTCATTTTCTCTATAAATGAAGGTATTGTGTATTTTTGGGAGGCGGTGGTTTGTAACATTTCCTTACTCGAAGATGCTGCTGGTGAAGAAACACTTTGTGATGATCCAGAAGCTGCAGAACTCTGTAGGGAAAAACTACTTGCATTTTCATTTTGGTCCTCACCATTTCATTCTATAAAGTATTTGTTAATAACTTTAGGGCACCTCTGGCATGCCAGGATGTGTTACATCATTCTTGTAGCATTTGGAAAAGAATATTTCTTCTCACAGTATTTGTAAATTGCAGCTTTTCTCTCAGTGGAAATTGCACTTTGTAAATTTGTCCAAACTCTAGATGTTGGTCTCACCATTTTACGGAGAGGAGAAAAAGAAAAAACAATTTACCAGACTATAGGTAAACATTATACTGTGATGGTGGAGAACATTAATAGGAATCATCTAAAGGCTATAAAATAAACTAATTTGTCAGACAAATTCACCCTCTTACCTATAAATTAAGGCCTATGAGGAGCACAGAAGCTATCATTGACTGTAACCCAACAATCACCCAACTGTCGGAGGTACAAGATGGAGCCCGCATACAAACTAAGGTGTTCGTTTATGACACAGAGAATAGCTGCGATTCAACGGATCTCAGCTATTCTCTGGTCATTCACAGTTTATGACACTCAGGAGATCATGTCAGCCCTTCACTGGAGATCTGTGTTCTCCCTCCAGATTCTCCAGCCCAGAGCTGGAGAATCGGAGGAACCGCAAACTAAGCAGAGATAATTTACCTCTGTTTAGTAAACTGATCTTTTACTGTAATCTCGCGAGATTATAGTAAAATCAGCCGTTTTCCAGAGTTTGTAGACCGTTCTCCAGCGTTTGGAGACCGTTCTCCCTTCGTTCGGAGAACTGCTTCATAAACTGCATTCACAGGAGAACTGTGTTCTCTGAGAATGCCGGAGAACTGAGCAGCGATCTATTACCGCTGGTTCATAAACGGACACCTAAACTAGAGCCTTTTCCCTGCAGTTTCCCCTAGTGGCAGAAATGCATATATCTCTTGATTGAGAGCTGCATTGAGATGTACAGTGTTACTCAATCTGTATTTCAGGATTTGCTTGTCTTCATC